AAAAAAGTTCCGAGAGGCGAGGTTGTCTTGGTCTTCATTTCTTCCGCGGCGGTGCTCCGCTGCGGGGTTCTGGTGCCTAAACAAACCGCAAGCACCGCGCCGAGGCGCGACCGCATCGCTGACGCGCCGGGAAGGGAGAGGCAAAAAATAAGGGAAGCAAATGGATTCTAGTTTTTTTTGTTTTTTCTGTAAACATTGCGGTCGCTATTGGCCAGCGTTGCGAGGGCCGTCCGCAAGAACCGGAGAGGCTTGTTCGTTTTGGACGGAGCAATGTGGCGGGCTGAAATGACACCAAACATCCGCATGCAAAGAACGGAGGCAAGCACATCCTTGCAGTACTTTTAGCAGGGCCTCCCGGGCCCGATTGGGGGGTTCATCCGTTTAGGGCATCGGCTGCCCGAGGAGGCTGCAGGGGTAAGGCCCAACCGCGGCCAGCTGCGGCCTCGGCCTCAATTTTGGCTATTTTCTATGCAGCAAACTTTTCCTAACGAATGCCTCACGCACCAGCCCTCGTGTGTGGGGAGAACGCTCCGGGAGAACCCGACGAGTGCGCGGCAGCAAGCGAGAAGCAAGTGGCAGATGGGCGCGGTGTGCACGTCAGACGGGGACTCCGGCGGGGGTCTGGGCGGCTTGCGTCACGCAACAGAGGGGCAACACCACCAACAAGTCAAGAAGCGTTTGGAAATCCGCAAGCGGCGAGCGGGCCTACAAAAAAAAAACGGGCAGTCGTTGCATTTTGTCTGGGCGCAGAGCCGTGAGTCACTTCCCGGAGCCTTCGTGCTCGCAGAAAAGGAGTTCTTGCAGCACCGATGGGTGACTAGCGGGCGATGTAGGCGCCCTCTTCTTCCTCCCGGACCTCTTTCCGGCACACCCGCCCCACTGCAGCAGGGGAAGTCCACACGCCATGCCGGAACGCTGACCTGTAGCGGAGGTCGCGCTGTCCCCGCCTTCGCTTCCGCTACCCCGTTGTGTGGAATCCCGCAGCGCGATGAAGAAAATATAAAATCAAGAGAGTGGCCCCACCTCGCCTGCGAGGGCAACATGATCCAGACACCCCTCGGTGCCACTCCGCATGCGCCACCAGAGGGCTGACGGGAGCTGCCTTCGCCGCTGAGAGCGGCCCGCGGCTGTGAGAACTTGTGTGGGCGACCAGGTTGCAATTAGACTAAAAACTAAAAGGTGCCTGCAGCCATCCTCGGTGGCGAGGCGCTCTGCCCCGTGTGGGCGCGCTGGTTTCCCCGTATCTGTGCAGCGAACGCCCGCGGGGGTCGCACTTATGCGAGTGGTGCGGCATGGCGGCGCAGCGGGCCGACATGCCACGTCGGGAAGTGACGACAAACCGCCCGCTCAGAGTTCCAGGTCACGCGGTTCCAGCGAGGCGTGGGCCGTCGCGAAGACGTGGCGTTTGGCATGGTGCTGAGCATCCTCGGCGTAGCGTGGCGGGAAGAAACGCGCACTGCGGCAGCTCTAAGCGCCCCGGGGGGCAAAGCGGCGCCCAAGGGGAAGAGCGCGACGAGGCCAAAGACGCCCCGCGGCCTGCTAAGGGCAGCGTTTCTTGGCAGCGGAATTGCTGCCACCGCTTTTCCATCTAACAATGCTGGGGCGGGTTTCAGGTGGATAGCGGCGTGCAAACCCCCCGTGTCTCGGAGGGGGGAGGGGGTGTGTGCGTGGCATGGCGTTCGTGTTGCGAGAGCGCGCGGCGCCAAAGCATCTTCCGCGGCGGGGGAAGGTGGGCTTCCAAACGGACGGGCGCGCCCCCCGTAGACACACTTAGGCCACGAAACGCCTCGCTGCTCTCGAAATGGCTTGCTTCCGGGCCGCGGAGGCGCGCAGAGACCGGGCATGGGGCAATCACGTCGCCACCGCGGAGCAGCACGCTGGGGACATATCCCATCAGAAATGGGCGCGCGGTGTGCTTCGACGCCCCACTTGTGCGACCACTGAGGCGCGTGGCCTGCATTGGGTCATTTGCCAATTTGAAGCCCACGCCGGTTAAGGCCGCACCAAAGAGTTTTGCACCGGGCTTCGGCCCATGTTGCTCACTTTGCGAGTGTTGTTTGGCGTCGCGATTGCGCTGCCCTTGCGGCGGACAACGCCAAAGTACACTCGCAAAGTG